AAAGAGTCTACACAATTTGTTACATTACAAGGACAAGGGAAAGAAATAATGATAAGAGGGAGAGACACTAGGCTGCGAACGCCAAGCAGCTACCTAGTGGACTCCGAGAATCTGCTGGAAGCTATCAACCCTCGCTAACAGGACCTGAAGCACCTGAATCTGCACACAGGGTGCAAGGAGTAAAGTAGGTACTCCAACTTTGTGAGTAATAACAATAAATGAATACTGAACGATAAGAAACCACGTAAAAACACAACAACACGCTATATAGAGGTAGAGTAAAACCAGTAAAATGCAAGAAAATGGTGAAAACATATAAAGTCGCCTTAGTTCAGAATAAGCTTCTTTAAAATACCTTTTTAACAGTTAAACAAGTAAATGACAGGCAGCTAGAAGAGATAAATACATAAAAACCGCCCCTCGGGCACAATACCAACAGAATCAGCCCCTCGGGCAACAACATGGAACAACACTAGCCCCTCGGGCTATATCTCATATCACAATAGGTACTCACGCTCATTGGGGGTGTTTAGACTCCGGGAGGAGCCCCTTACGGTTCAAGCGCAATATCAAGTCATCTCGTGGCATAGTCCATAGGCCCTCGGCCTCATATCAAGCCACCTTGTGGCGTACAATCTCAGGCCCTCGGCCTCATTATCATAAATCAGTGTATTACTGATGCGACGTGCAGCCCGACATAAAAGTATCCTCACAACACAGGTCCTCGGCCTTACTCAATCAGAATCTCATAAGCCACTCGGGCAACAGTAAAACATGATGTTCAGCCCAAAATATCATTTAAAATATCATCTAATGTGTTAAAACAGAGTAACATGGCTGAGTTTTGAAAACGGTATAATATAGCATAATTGAGTACATATATTAAAAAATAAAACAGTGAGGAAATAGCAGTAAAAATCCCCTAATGGTCTAAATAGTTTGCACGATGCCCAAATATAGCATTCAGCCCAAAACATGATGATAGCAAACAGTTTTCAATCAAATACGCGGTAAAATAGTCATTAGGGATGGACTAAGTCACAATCCCCAATGGTGCACGATCCCACGCTCGTCATCTAGCGTGTGCGTCACCTCAGGACAACATTTACAATCATTACTCACCTCTATCCGGTCCAAATCTCTAGCCCGTGATGCCTTTTGCCTCTCGAATCGACCTCCGAATGCTCCAAATCTAACCAAAATCAGTGCAAAACCATCAAAATTTGCTAAGGAAACAAAGTCCACTCGAAAGAAATCAAATTACAACACAAATCCCAAAATTGGCCAAACCCGACCCCCAGGAACACGTCTCGAATTTTGATAAAAATTACATCAATAGACTCCTTATCACTTCCCGAATTCATTCATATAAAAATCACCAAAATCTAACCTCAAATGATCCCTCAAAACCATAATTTTAGGTCTCCAATTACAAGCCCTAGTTCTTCAATATTAGGCTTAAATTCCATGATTAATTAGGTAGAATTCAAATTAGGATTGAGTATTAAGTCCATAAATCTTAACTCCAAGTGTTCCTCCATGAATCCCTCTTCAATCCTCTTCAAAAAGCTTCAAAATCGCCCAAAAATGGTGAAAGTTAGCCCCAAAATTGCGGACAATGGCTATTTAAACATTCTGCCCAGACATTCAAAACCTTCTTCACGAACGCGGTCAAAGCCTCGTATTCGCGAAGCACAACCTGACGTTGACCACATTTTCCTTCTTCGCGAATGCGTTTGCTCTCTCGCGAACACGATGCTCCTGACTCCAACCCTTCACGAATGCGGCTCCCTTCTCGCGAACGCGTAGCTCAACGACCCCAGCCCTTCGCGAACGCGGAACCTTTCTCACGAATGCGAAGGCTAAATCTTCAGCCTCACCTGCTAACACTTCGCAAACGCGAGGGTCCACTCGCAAATGCGAAGCACTGCTATCTGCAACACTTCAACAAATTTTCTGCAACTTCCCACAACATGAAATAGTCCGTTTGACCACCCGAAACTCACCCGAAGCCCTTGGGACCTCAACCAAATATGCTAACATATCCCATAACATCATTCAAAGTTGTTCCAACCTTTGGAATGTTCAAAACAACATCAAAATACCAAATTCGCATTGGATTCAAGCCTAAGAATTCCAAAATCTTCTAAATTTTGCTTTTGATCAAAAAGTTTATCAAACTGCGTCCGAATGACCTAAAATTTTGCACACACATCCCAAATGACACAACGGACCTAATACAACTTCCGGAATTCCATTCCGACCCCTATATCAAAATCTCACCTATCAACCGGAAAACGATAAAATTCCAATTTGGCCAATTCAAGCCTAAATCCACTCCGGACCTCTAAAACACATTCCGATCACGCTTCTAAGTCCCAAATCACCTCCCGAAGCCATCCAAACCATCGGAACTCACATCCGAGCCCTTTAACATATAAGTTAATATCCGGTTAACTTTTCCAACTTAAGCTTCCTCAAAAAAGGCTAAGTGTCTCAAACATTACCAAAACCTCTCTGAACCCAAACCAACCAACCCGATAACACAAAATACAGCTGAACAAGGCAATGAGAAGCATAAATGGGGGAAATGGACTGGTGACTCATGAAACGACCGGCTGGTCCATTACAATTGATGTTATTTTGATGATTTGATCGCACGAGCAAGTCCGTATGATATTTTTGGACTTGTGTGCATGTTTGGTTTGGAGCCCCGAGGGCTCGAGTGAGTTTTGAATAGTCCACAGAGTGTTTTGAACTTTGGAAAAACTATTGTGTGTTGCAGGTGCGAAGCCTGGCTCGGAATTGCGAGCTCGCATGTGCAAACACCCATTCGCATTTGCGAAGACTGGGCAGGCCTTGGTCGCAAATGCGACACTTCCAATACAAATGCGATAGGTCCCACCCAAATGCGAAGGTGACCGAATTTCTTCATGGTCGCAATTGCGACATCTGCAACCTGCTAAATCATAATTTAGCCGAAAATTTCTCATTTTTCAAACTCTCTCAAACCTAAAACATTTTTGGGCGATTTTTTAAAGGCAACTACTCTTCCAAATCATTAGTAAGTCATTTCTAACTCCTTTCTTTCAATCTAATCCATCTTTTTACATAATTTCATTTCAAAATCAAGGGTTTTCATGGGAAAAATTGTGTGTTTTGGGTAGAACTTAGGATTTTCAAATTTTGGGGATTTGGATCTCAATTTGAGGTCCGATTTAAAAAATATATATATGTGTGGGTTCGTGGGTGAATGGGTAATTGGGTTTTGGTTTGAACCTCGGGTTTTGACCATGTGGGCCTGGGGTCGTTTTTTGACTTTTTGGGAAAATCTTTATAAAACCTATTTTCATGCATTAGAATTGATTCATTTAGCATTTGTTGATATCGTTAAGTAAATTATGGCTAGATACAAGCAAATTGGTGGTGGAAACAAGAGGTAAACCGGTAGTTGAGGCTTAATTGTGTTCGTGGCTTTGAGGTAAGTGTTTGGTCTAACCTTAACTTAAGGGATTTTGCTATGTGTTAATTGTGGAGTACGTCGTATAAGCATGGTGACGAGTATCTATACGTCGGTGTTAAGCATGCCCGTGAGTCTCGTATTGTAACTGTTGTGACTCCGTTGTGATTTATTCATACTTAATATGATGATTATTATTGTTGGTTCCCTTGCCGGGATGTTATTGTTTACAATATTGTCTCCCTTGCCGAGATGTTATTGTTTATGATATTGTCTTCCTTGCCGGGATGTTATTGTTATACTCTTGTTCCCTTGCCGGGATTATTTTATGATTAAAGTTGAATTGAATATGAAATGGAATTGGGTTGCACGCTGTAACGGTAATATAAGAAATGGGATCGGGTTGCACACCGCAATGGTAATATATGAAATGGGCTCGAGTTGCACGCCGCAATGGTATTATATGAAATGGGATCAGGATCGGGTTGCACGCTGCAATGTATTATATGAAATGGGATCAGGTTACACGCTGCAATGGTAATATATGAAATGGGATCGGGTTTCACGCCGCAATGGTATTATATGAAATGGGATCAGGATCGGGTTGCACGCTGCAATGTATTATATGAAATGGGATCAGGTTACACGCTGCAATGGTAATATATGAAATGGGATCGGGTTTCACGCCGCAATGGTATTATATGAAATGGGATCGGGTTGCACGCCGCAATAGTATTTCATGATTTGGGATCGGATTGCACGCCGCAACGAGAAAGAAATGGAAGTGAATATTGTGTTGTTTTCCTTATTCTTGTTGGCAATTGAATTATGGTTTTTTTCTTTACATTTCTCTATTGGTATTCTGCTATTATCTGATACTCCCTTTAGCATGCTTTCCCCCTCCCATTTTTAACTGTAAATATCTACTTTTATTTTTCCGCTGTATATGACTTAACTACACAGGTTTATTTGGTAGTCTGGTTCTACACTACAACAAAAAATGCTTTTAGCAGCAATTAAAATTCTTTATAGCGGCAATATAAATGGCCGCAAAAACATTTACCGACAACTAATTATTAGCCATTGAAGCTGGCATCGGCAAAGGCTTTAGCGGTCATTTATCTAAATGTTGGTAAAGGGACATGTTATGGCCAGTAAAAGTCCTTTAGTTTTAGTAGCAAATATTACTGGCAATTATAATGGACACCAAAACTCACAAAAAATTCCATAGCCCTATATTTTGTAACTTTTATTATTACCGCTAAAAGTAAATTTAATAATCGGTAAAAAAAATCCCTATTTGGAAACAAATATAATAGCCACTAAAGCTATATCCATCTTTATTTATTTATTTAATAGCTTTTATTATTGTTGATAAAAGTTTATTTAATTGCTATAACAATGATTCTTTAAAAACTTTTCTTATTGCCACTTTCTATTAAGAAAGAGTTTATTCATCATTGTTAGTTAATGCCTGGTATTCTTATTAACCTTAAAAATGAATACTCTTCAAAGGTCTTAATGCACTTCATTAATCTGCAACAACCGAAATTATTAATCCAAAAATTGGAAGTGTCAACAATATAACAAAATGCTAACCTATTTAAATATAACACCTAGTGTCATTTTGCATCTAATAAGTTATTTTATCAAATAGCTACATACAATAAGCGACATAGAAAGATTCTCCAACTCTTGATCATAATGTAATCTGCTATGAGCGAAGATTTGACCGCTATAATGTATGACCTGAAATGACAAATAAAATAAATATAAATAAATAACCACATATGAAGTTCATTAATAGTCAGAAAAATAATTTTCGGGTGTTTACATGCATATACACTAGCGTATCAAGGAATTGCTACTACAAACTCCCATCAAAATCAAATGTACAAGAAGTTTGTTGTTAATGTTTTTTCTCAAAAAAATAGATGCGTACTTGAAGATCTCAAAGTAGCATAGGCTCAGAATCAACTTCACAAAGACATTTAAATAAATATTTGCCAAACAACCTTATACGAGCGCGTTCTAAAAGATCCAATATTTTTTATTGGGATTGTAGATTTCTCAAGTCTATTTGTTCTTAACAATACCAATACAACAAGTAGATAGCACAAATATGTGGAGCACTTGCTGTTTTTGTCTACTAGAATGGAGATATTCACATTTCTTTTTAGAAAAAGAAAGAAGCCCAGAGAAATATGCAAAAGCCAAAGACCTGACAAGGATGCAAAAGTGATATTTTTACTCCAGTTTCAAGATTCTTCTCTCTGCTTGCTATTAAAGAGGCACACGAAAATAGAGACCAAAGATTGTGTCACACAAATATTTACAGATAAATTGCTAGTATATATAGTAATCTTTCCTTACATTTCTATGTTATATCCACATAATTCACACCTAGTAAAATTAATGATGAAAATAAATATATAATTTTTTCCTAAAAACCATCGCAATACAGCTAAACTCAAAATAAATTAAGTCCTTATTAATAGAAATAGGAACACACATTTCCTGAAGTTCACTAGAAAAAATAAAATCAATTATTTCTACCTCTATCTCTTCTCTTATAAGAACTTTCAAATTCTTTTCTCAATATCAAATTCACAGGACCTGCCAAAAAAATTAGATGGTTCTTACATGATTAAGACTTAAAGTTTTACAAAAGATGCTACAATAAATTTCTGATAGTGGATCTAAAGAAATGTTATTAATAGTCTCTTTTGGTGGTGAAGGAGCTGGAGTACTATCAAGGTATTAAAATTTGGATGTGTGGAGTAGACTAAATATCTTCTCGTTCAAAATAATCTACATACTTAAGGTTCGATTACTATCTTTGGAATTAGGATTGCCTAAGATGCCATTTCAAAAGTCCCTAATGCCTCCAACCAGTTGGTAATCAAACAACAATATTTTGCAGTTCAAGTATAGTAATTTCAACCAAATTAAAACAGGAATCTTCCTACACAAGATAGTTTAAGAAAAATGGACTGATCGTTAAGACTAGCGTAAAGAGATATAAAGACCACTAACAACACATTGATTTTTACCTTTTCTAAACATACGGTTGCAATTACTAGCAATACAAAGAACCTATTTCGCGTAGTTCATACTATCTGTTTCTATGAGTTCTCAACAATTTCAAGAACAAATATTAGCAAAATATATATTCAAATATAAAACGAAGAAAAAATTGTTACTTTAAAATGGCATCCCTGGCGCTTGTACTATTTGTTTTGCTAACTATCTTCTCCTCTCATATGTTTCTTGAGCTCTCTTATTTTCAAGATTCTGTGGTTATCACAAATAAGGGAGAAGCTACCATTGATAGTCAGATATTCTAACAAAAAATTAAGACTTCAATTCTAATTGCAGGAACGAGTATGAAAACTCATCTCATAAAAACTGCAGAAAAAGGAGTCGGAGCTCATTGTTACATGAATAAGGGCTAATCACAAAGAAAAGGAACTACATGTGATACTTGGAGCAAAAAANTAGAAAATTAAAATTTTATATTGGTAAACAATACATGAAAATGAAGTCAAAGAAATTATTTAACAAGAAATAACGATCAACTGCTATATGTTGTTTCATTGATTTCAAATGTGAAGTAATACCACAACTAACTAGAGAGAATGAATGTAGGATAGGTCATAAACAAGATATAAGAAACTTACCCTGATTCTATCATAATGGTTCCATCCAACCTTTGATGGAAGCTTACCTAAAACAGTATATATGTCTTATCTCGAGCCTCGATATCCTAGATAAGAGGAGGGTAGTATATCCGTATAAAAAAATAGTACTATATGTAGACTAATATTAAGTGCATTAGAAATGATCATTCTCTTCATCTTGTCGTATGGGATGGAACACCTTCATAAATTAATTACGGGTGTTGCGCTGCAACTTACTTTAGCGTATTTTGCTATGTATAGACTAATATTTGTATGTATCGTTAGACCTAGTTATAAGAAATCTGGAAAATAAACTAAAAAGTATTTATTAAGATTTATTCCAATTTAAAATATAAAAAAAACTAAGTGATTTAAGTAGAGAAAGAAGCAGATAATCAATAGATGTGAGTAGTGTTGTACTCTATCCCCTTTTCTTCAATCTCTGGGTGCTTTTAATATGATGTTGTTCAAAGCAACTTTATTTGTGATATTTCTTTTCTTGTTTCTATTGTCTGTTATGCTGTAACAGTATCACTACTTCATAACACATATCAAACTTCTACTTGAATGGAGAGTTTACTTATTATCAAATATTTAGAGGATATAATATTGGTCAGCCAAGTTTACTACACTTTGAAAGAATCTGTTCATATCTTCATCATGCAGTTTTCCTTCATTTTTTGATTCTTATTCCAAGTTAAAGTAGAATTAATCTAAATATGTATCTACTTACGAGAATTAATATCAACTTACACCTAATTCCTTTTTCTCAACTTTCATTCCAGTCATGATAAACCCAGTAAATACCAATCATACGTCTAAAGAAAGATGAGACCCAGTACTCTTAAATGGAAAGAATAGGCATACCATGTTTATAAGATAATCTTGTATGTTTCATAATATATTTTTTGTACAGAGGATTCACTATAAAGATCTCACCTTTGTCACAAACTCTTTTTCTTTCTATTCTCTCGCCCCTCTCTCCAAATTCATATTCCTAGTTCCCTAATCTTCAATTAATAACCCACTGCAAGTAACAAAGAGTAATCCAATTACCCTCGATAATTTACAGTTAAAATATTAGGGTTAATTGCAATAATAAGATATTGGGTATGTGGGAGAACAATCATCATCTTCTTCATATGTACTAGACAATCCTAATCATCTCAACAAAGCCAAAATAAAGATAAGTTGTCTTACTGTGAGATGGTAGTGACAATGGTGAAACGGCGGATGAGCAGCGGTGATGAAAATCTTTTACTGGGGATGGATGATGACGTTCGACAGTGATACAGAGAAGGCACGATGGCAGCAAAAAGTTACTTTGGGATGGTGGCCAACTATAATGAAAAGAAGGCAGCGGCGAGGATAAACTTCATTTGTATTTTTGAAATATTTTTCAAATTTTTTGAACTTAGTTGTTGATTAGAAATAGAGGGAATAGGTGATTTTAGTGGAAAAAACCCGGAGGGAAAGCTAAAATAATGCTGGCAGCTTTCAAGAAATGTCTTTTTAATGGTCATTCATATTTATCGCCAGTAAAAGGGTAACCAATACCGGCTAATTCGCAATTGCCACTAGTATTCGGATTTTTGGAATTATTTACTGGCCATTAGCTTATTGCCGCTAATTAATTACAATTAAAAATCCTTTTTGTTGTAGTGATAGCCTCGTCACTACTTCGCCGAGGTTAGGCTAAGGACTTACCAGCACATGGGGTCGGTTGTGCTAATACTATACTCTGCACTGTGTGCAGATCCCGGTGCTGCAGCTTTTGGACCGCAGTGAGGTGGCTGCCTTTAGTCCATTCAGGCGACCCGAGGTAGTCCTATAGGCGTCCGCAGGGCCTGGCGTCTCCTTCTATATTTCCATTCTGTTTCGTTCATGTATTTCAGAGACAACGTTGAATTTATCTTTCGGACCCTTAATTGTAGTATTCCTAGATAGTCTGTGAAGTTGTGGCACCAATTTTGGGTAGTTTTGTTATGGATATGTATCAAAATTTTTATTTAAATTGGTACATTTCGTTCTTCCGCTTATTTAATTCCGCTGTTTATATAATATTAGTTCAGAACTATTAAAGGATTAAAAGTGAAAAAGGTAAGTATTTGAAATGATTGGCTTGCCTAGCTTTTACTAGTAGGCGCCATCACAACTCCCGAAGGTGGAAAATCTGGGTCGTAACAACTACATTAGTGGCGATTTACATAATGAGCAAGCTTATGGTTAAAAAAAATATTTTTATCGTTGGTGACCATAACTTTATTAATTCTTAAAGAGTCCCAGGTGAAATGATGCAAATTTTTGCTCTAACAAAGACGAGATCATAAGCGAGGTAAATATTTTGTGAGATTGAAAAGGTTGGACAAATTTGAGAAATGAGGAAATTCTTATTTTGAATAAATTTTCTCTCCTTTAAGGAAAACAATGATTTTTAAAGAGAGTCAATATATTTTAAAAATCTTTTCCTCGAGGAAGAGAAAAAATTCAAGTATAGGGAAATTTTATAAGTATAATTATTCATGTATTTTTATATTTAAATAAATAATATTTTTAATAAAAAAGCATGAATAATTTATATTTACTCTCCTATAAGTACTAACAAATCTTGCAGGAAAGGATTATTTAAAAAGAAAACAAACAAAAAAGGAATGACGATGATACTTTGTTGGTGCATCAAGAAACCAAAGGAAGAGCCATGTCATTATTGATCCAATGCCAGCTCTTGTTGTCGCGACAATGAAGAAGAAAAGATATAACAATTAGCGTCTGTAACGATCCAGCCGGTTGTTTCGTGAATCATAGCCTCCCAATTTCTGCTTCTTTATGTGTTGTTCAACTGTATTGTGTTGTATCGGGTTGGTTGGTTCGGGCCCGGAGTGGTTCTGGAGTGGAATGAGACACTTAATCTCTTATTTAGAAGCTTAAGTTGGAAAAGTCAATCGGATATTGACTTATGTGTAAATGATCTCGAATATGAATTATGATGGTTCGATTAGCTCCGTTAAGTGATTTTGGACTTAGGAGCATATTTCGAATGTAAATTGGAGGTTCGTGGTAGATTTAGGCTTGAATTGGCGAAATTGGAAATTTGGCGTTTCTCGATCAGTAGTGAAAATTTTGATATCGGGGTCGGAATGGGATTTTGAAAATTGGAGTAGGTTCGTAGTGCCATTTGTAACGTGCGTGCAAAATTTCAGGTCAATCAGAGGTGATTTGGTAGATTTCGGCATTGTTTGTGGAATTCAGAAGTTTAGAAGTTCTTAGGCTTGAATCCAAGGGTGATTTGGTGTTTTGATATTGTTTTGAGTGTTTTGAAGGTTCGAATAAGTTTTAATGTTGATATGTGACTTGTTGGTATATTTGGTTGAGGTCCCGAGGGCCTCGGGTTGATTTCGGGTGGTTGACGGATCAAGGATGGAATTTGGAGGAATGCTGAAGATTTCCTTCAGCTGTCATAACCGCACCTGCAGAGTGGGGACCACAGGTGCGATGGCCGCAGATGCGGAGAAGGACCGTAGATGCAGGATTTGGGAAACTGAGCAGACCATATGTGCGGAAGGAGGAGCGCACCTGCGAGACCGTAGGAGCGGGTACTGGACCGCAGAAGCGGTTTTGGGCAGTTAAGTGAAAACCCCAGATGCGGTTCTTTTGATCGCAAAAGCAGTCCCGCAGATGCGGGTAAAGGGTCGCAGGTGCGAGATGCCTGGGCAGAAAGTTTATAAGGGAACCTTCGCAAATTTTGGCCATTGTTCTCCATTTTTCATTCAGATTTTGAGGCTTTTGGAGTGTTTTGAAGAGGAAATCAAGGAGATACTCATTGAGGTAAGTTACTTGAGCTTAATACTTGTGATTATGGTAATTTTCAGTTGTTTAAGAATGGAATTAGTAGAAATTAAGGATAAAATTGAGGGGATTAGGGCTTGAACTTGGAGAGTTTGATTTGGGGATTTGAGGAACCATTTGATGTCGAATTTTGATGAATTTGGTATATACAGACTTGTGAGTGAAAGGAGTTTTTAGTTTTGTGATTTTTGTCGGATTCTGAGACATGGGCCCGGGGGCCGAGTTTGGGTGAATTTCGGAATTTTGGTATAAATTGATAGTGTTTCGTAAAGAATTGATTCCTTGGCCTATATTGATCACATTGTATTGCTTTTGGTTAGATTCAGGACGTTTGGAGACCGATTCCAGAGGCAAGGACATCGCGAAATAGGGATTTGACTGGCTCAAGGTAAGTAATGATTGTAATTCATGTCGTGGGGGTATGAAACCCCGGATTTTACATCGTTTTACTATTGTGAGGTGAAGCGCATGCTAGGTGACGAGCGTGTGGATGTGCACCATTGGGATTGTGACTTGGTCCATCCCGTAGCAACTATAAAGTTGCGTATTTGACTGGAAACTATTTGATACTTATATGTTTAGAAAGAACTACTATAAATTGGGCTTAACGCCATATTTGGGCTTTGCGCCAAAGCTGTTTTGACCTTAGAGGTCTTTTCTTATTATCCTCTCACCGTTTTTGATTTAGGATCTATACTTAGTCATGTTGTGTTTACCGATTTCATAACTCAGTCTTTATTACTCCGTTTTGATGCATATAATGATATTTTGGGTTGAGCACCCTATTTTACTGATAGTCCGAGTAGCTTGAGAGGTTTCTGACTGAGTGATGTTGAGGGCCTGTGTTGTGATGATATTATGGTATCGGGCTACGCACCGCAGCATGATGTTACTGATTTATGATTACTGAGAGGCTGAGGGCCTGATTGATTAGTGCCACGAGGTGGCTTGTTAGAGTGCTTTGGCTGTAGGAGCCCCTCCGGAGTTTGTACACCTCAGTGAGCACGGATACCCTGAGTGAGTGATATGATGTTTGCCCGGGGGGCTGTTCTTGATTCATGTTATGCCCGAGGGGCTATTTACGAGCGATTATGAGGTATGCCCGAGGGGTTGTATATGAGTGACTATGAGATTTGCTCGAGGGGATGTTTATGATCATGTTTGCCCGAGGGGCTGTTCACAAGTGATGTTTTGCCCGAGGGGCCATTTATATTTTCATGATATTTTTACTCACTGTTTCATCACTTTGTTGGAAAATTGTTGAAAGATATTTTTAAATGATTCTATCGAAACTGTATTTTTAAACGAGATACTTGACTCACATACTGATTTGAAAGCATATTGTACTTACTGAAATTTCATGAATGGGGATTTTATGTGTTTCCTACTGCTCAGTCTTTATTTACCTTTATTACTTACTGAGTTGGCATACTCACATTACTCTCTGCACCTCGTGTGCAGATCCAGGGGTTGCTGGGCGTGCTTGCGAGCGTTGATTTTCATTCATCGCGGATATTTTGGAGTTGGCAAGGTAGTTGCATAGAGATCGCAGCCTTGCTCTTCTCCCTCCTATCTTCCTTTGGATATTAGTAATTGTTTTTTTCAGACTCTATTAGTCTTAGTTTTTATCGGACAGTCCTTAGTAGATGCTCATTACTTGTGACACCCCGATGTCAGACTTTTATTTCCGCATTATTTTCCTTGTTTTGGATTTCTTACGAAAGATTTTATGATTAAATATTTGAAAAAATATTTTTAAAATGAAATGTTATGTGCTTTGGATAATGAGTCGGCTAGCCTAGTACTACGATAGGCACCATCACAATTGGGTAGTTTGGGTCGTAGCAAGTTGGTATCAGACTCCCATCGCTCGCACACCCGAGCAAGTTGTTCAGGGACTCTAGACACCGGGTGCACCTCCAGCCTAGCCGGTTGCAGCTGCTCAGGACTATGTATCTCCTGTTATGCCAGAGGACGAGCAGCACAAATTTCAGAGGTTTGGGAGACTCCAGCCTCCGTCATTTAGTGATGCTGAGGGTGAGGATGCACAGGGTTTCTTGGATAACTGTCAGAGGATGCTTCGGATTGCAGGTATTCTAGAGACCAATGGGTTCTCATTCACCACTTTCCAGTTCTCTAGGGCTGCACTTAGTTGGTGGGAGGCTTACAAGAGGCGTAAGCCGGTTAGCGCAATGCCCATTACTTGGCAGCAGTTCTCCATTCTCTTTCTGGAGAAGTTTGTACCTGAGTCTCGCAGAGAGGATCTGCGCAGGTAGTTGGAGCAACTTTGCAAGGGTGATATGTCTGTTACACAGTATGAGATGCGGTTCTCCGAGTTGGCTCGTCATGCGGATTCGTAGGTAGTTGGAGTAACTTCGCTAGGGTGATATGTATGTCAGGTGGTTTATAGATGGCCTCGATTTTCAACTTTGGTTGCTTATGACCAGAGAGAGGGTGTATGGTGCCACCTTTAATGAGGTTGTCGACATTGCTCGACAAATTCAGATAGTTCGTGGTTAGGAGAGGGTTGAGAGGGAGGCCAAGAGGTCTCGTGGTCAGGGTGAATTCAGTGGTGCTCCTCATGGGGGTCAGTTCGAGCACGACTGAGGCCGTCCATTCAGATATGCTCA